GTAATTTTGAAAGGTTGAGATTTATAACTACTGCTTGGTGCAATTTCATTGATCTGTACTGTGGATACTTTAATTTTATACCAATTCCTGCAACAAGCATGCCTCTAAAACTTGACCTAGCTGTTCAACCAAGTTATTTTTTGTATATTAAAGATTTTTTTTTAAAATAAGAGTAGCTAATAAATATTTTTGCACACAAAAGCAATCAAGCGAGACTCTGAACAAGGATTCTTTATTCTAGAATAGCTGGTTGCTTGAAAATATCAGATTTATTAAAAGATCAGAAAACAGGGGACATCTTTCATGAATTATGATATATATGCTCTCTGAATTAAAGGAAACGTTTTCAAACAAATTGTCTGCTTTCAAATTCCACTCAGTTGATGTGATGAGCAGTGTGTCTGGCTACAATTGTATGATTTAAAACCCAGTGGTAGTTCATTCAGAATAGGATAGAGGAAAGTAGCCATCGCATAATTTTGTGTTGCAATGAAATTTATTGACCTGGAAATTAATTAACTTCAGAACTTCTAAGATTCCTTTTGGACTGGGGCAGCAAGCACTTGTGATTGAGCTGTAATGAACAAAGAAGTGGAATCCACTAATACATGCTCAAAATGATCAGACTGCTTGTCTGGCACTCAATACTGGTTGGGCAGAAGTTTCTTCTTATTAAATATTGGGAAGATGAAAGCAGTTGGACTGGATCCATGGCATTCCTAGTTCATGTGAAGAGAAGAAAGGGCATTGGAATTGGAATTCCGAAATTGTCATCTCCATTTAGTTTTACAAGCATGGGAAATGTGGCAGGTCACAACCTAATGCCCAAGTAAACTAGATTGAGATTAAGATTTTGCTGTGTAATTTGGACTTTGTGCATTATTCTTTGATTCAAAGTTAAGACATCAGTCCTGCTATTGAAGTTGGAACAAGTGACAATCTGTTTGAGCTGCTTTAAAAGACTTCTTCTGTTAATTCAATCTAGCTATCTATTCTGTGCTAGTACTTCAAAGATTGTAATGTAGTCCCCACTGGAGATTTCATTATCACAGCTGAGTTCCAAACCACACTGGAATTTAACACCCTCTCCAAGATGAGCTGGAGGCAAGGAAGTTTTTAATCAGCAGCAAAGTTGCCAGGTTGTACTGCGTAGAAGTTCAACCTCTGCTCCAATTAAATCTGGGTTGGAAGGCTTGTGGATAGCTTTCCTGCTTCTGCCAGCATCCTAACTGTGCAATAATAACTTTTTAAGTGCCTGATAGCATTGTTGCTGTTATTCAACAGTTGGATGGGCAGGGGGTTTCAATGCAGGGAGCATTAAATACAAAACTATTTTGGGTTTCCTTGTGAGCAAGGGCAAGTGGTGGAAGATTCTGCTTTGTCAGGTGCTCAATATCACTTGAAGGATTTGGCATCAGATGTTTAGGAGTTGCTGAAAGAAGCTCCCCTGCTCTTGATGCTAAACGTTCTCCTCCTCCTGTTGAGTGACCTATCCTGCCCTCGCTCATCTGTGAGCTGACTTTAAGCCTTTCCAGCGACATTCTTCAATTTACAGCAGAGCAGGTAACTCTTATCTACTGGAATACACTTCAAAAACATATTCCAGCTGTTTTGGGACCTGATTACATGTTGTGCTGACCTATTATCCTACTAAGATCAAACTACCCTGCATATCCTACGTTATATTATCATCCATGTGCCTATCCAAGAGTCGTTTAAATGTATGTAATGTATCTGACTCCACTACCACTGTTGGCAGCGCATTCCACGCGCCCACCGCTCTCTGTGTGAAGAACCTACCTCTGACGTCACCCCTATACCTTCCTCCAATCACCTTAAAATTATGCCCCCTTGTAAAAATCATTTCCACCCTGGGAAAAAGTCTCTGGCTATCCACTCTATCTATGCCTCTCATCATCTTGTACACCTCTATCAAGTCACCTCTCATCCTTCTTCGCTCCAATGAGAAAAGCCCTAGCCCCCTCAACCTTTCCTCATAAGACCTGCCCTCCAGTCCAGGCAGCATCCTGGTAAATCTCCTCTGCACCATCTCTAAAGCTTCCACATCCTTCCTTAAATAAGGCAACCAGAACTAAACACAATATTCCAAGTGTGGTCTAACCAGGATTTTATAGAACTGTAGCATAACCTCGCGGCACAGTGGCTCAGTGGTTAGCACTGGTACCTCACAGCACCAGCGACTCGGATTCAATTCCACCCTCAGGCAACTGTCTGTGTGGGGTTTGCACATTCTCCCCGTATCTGCGTGGGTTTCCTCCGGGTGCGCTGGTGCTCCCACAGTCCAAAGATGTGCAGGCTAGGTAGACCGGCCATGCTAAATTGCCCATAGTGTTCAGGGATGTGTAGATTAGGTGGGTTATAGGGGGATGTGTCTGGGTGGAGTTCTCTGAGGGTCGGTGTGGACTTGTTGGGCCGAAGGGCCTGTTTCCACACTGTAGGGATTCAGTGGATGATTACTTCACTGCTCTCCTGACTGAATCATCATTTTCCACTTAAACTTAATTATCTTCTACTATACACAATCTAATCATTGGCCTCAATTACTCAGACCCTAAACTCTAAGATGTCTTGTCAGATAGGATTTTCTGAGGGTTAAGATGCAAGGAATGGGATTCTGACTTAATTGGAGTTGGCGTAAAGAAGAATTTTGGAAGCCGGGTATTGGGGCTATGAATAGTTTCATGACTTTGGGAGTGAATGGATAGAATGGCCCTCCAAGACTGTGCTGACACATTTTGCCCTTCCATAGTAAAACTGTCCTCACTTACAGGGTCTGTATCCCTCTGTTCCCTTCCTATTCATGTATTTATCCAGGTGATTCTTGAATGTTGCTGTTGTGTCTGCTTCCACGTCTGGCAGTGCCTTCCTGGCACCCACTTTGTATGGAAAAACATGCCTCGTACATCTCTTTTTAATGCGCCCCCCCACCCCAAACCCCATATCTTGAATTTTTGTTCCCCAGTAATTGATCCTAGAAAAAAGCCTCATATTTTCCACTCTATCCATGCCATTCACAGTCTTTTAAACTTCTATCAGGTCGCCCCTCAACCTCTTGTTTTCCAGTGAAAACAAACCCAATGTATCTGACCTTTTTGTAGCTAAAATGCACCATGTCAGGCAACGTCCTGGCAAACCTTTTCTGTGACCTCTCCAAAGCATCCACATCCTTCAGGTAGTGTAGTGACCAGAACTGCACGCAATATTCCAAGTGTGGCCTAACTAAGGTTCTATAAAGCTGCAGCATAACTTGAGTATAAGAATAGACAATGCCCCTTCCAATGAAGGCAAGCATGCCATAGACCTTTATTATAATGTTATCTACCTGTGCCGCCACCTTCAGTGATCTGTGGACCTGCACACCCAGATTCTCTGCATATCAATACTCCTAATGGTTCTGCACTTTACTGTATAATTCCTACCTGTACTTGACCTTCCAAAATGCATCACCTCATTTATCCAGATTAAACTCCATCTGCCATTTTTCTGCTGATCCCTCCAACTGATCTATATTCTGCTGTATCCTCTGACCATCCTCCTCACTATCTGCAATTCCATAATCTTTGTATTGTACGCTAACTTACTAATTAGACCAGCCACATTTCCCTCCAAGTTATTTATGTAGGCCACAAACAGCAGAAGTCACAGGACTGATCCCTGTGGAACGCCAGTAGTCACAACCCTCCATTTCGAAAAGCAACTTTGCACTGCTACCCTATGTCTCCTATGACTAAGCCACTTCTGTATTCATCTTGCCAGCTCATCCATGATACCATGTAACTTCACCTTTTGTACAAGTCTGCCATGAGGGACCTTGTCAAAGGCTTTACTGAAGTCCACGTAGACAACATCAACTGCCTTTCCCTCATCAATTATCTTTGTCACCACCTCAAAAAAAAACTCAATCAAGTTAGTGAGGCATGACCTCCCCTGCACAAAACCATGCTCTTTATTGCTAATAAATCCATTTGCTTCTAAATGCGTATTGATCTTGTCCCTGGGAATCTTTTCCAATAATTTTCCTATCACCGAAGTGAGGCTCACAGGCCTGTAATTTCCAGGATTATCTCTGCTACCCTTCTTAAACAATAGGACAACATTGGCTATTCTGCAATCTTCTGGGGCCTCACCTGTGGCCAGCAAGGATACAAAGATGTCCGTCAATGCTCCAGCAATTTGTTGTCTTGCCTCCCTCAGTATTCTGGGATAGGTCCATCAGGACCTGGGGGCCTATCTACCTTAATATTTTTTAAGATGCCCAGTACCACCTCCTTTTTTAACAGCAGTTTGGCTTAGAAATTTAACACTTATCGAAGTATAAAAAGCCTTGGGATTCTCCTCAATCCTGTTTGCTAACAACTTTTCATGACCCGTTTTTGCCCTTCTAATTCTTTGTTTGAGTCCTTTCCTACTTTCCTTATACTTCAAGGGCTTCGTCAGTTCCCATCCTCCTAGACTAAATGCATGCTTCTTTTTTCTTTTTGACCAAGGTCATAACATCCCTGGACATCCTAGGTTCATGTAACTTGCCATTTCTTTCCTTCATTCTCGCAGGAACGTGCCGCTCCTGAACTCTTAACACCTACTGTTTGAAATACTCCCACATGTCTGATGTGGATTTACCCTTAACTGGCTGCCTCTAATCAAAATTCTCCAGTTCCTGCCTAATATTTGTTGTAGTTCACCTTCCCCCATTTTAATACCTTCACCGAGGGCTGCTATTATCCCTATTCATGAGTATCTTAAAGCTCACGGTATTATGGCCACTACTCCAAAAATGCTCCCCCACTGAAACTTCACTCACCTGACCAGGCTCATTTTGCCAAACTGGGTTCAGTTCAACCTTTCCTGGTTGGACTGTTTACATACTGTGTCAAGAAACCCTCCTGAATGGTTGTTACAAATTTGTTTAACACTACAAAATATGATGGGCATTGCTATTGTGTTATTAGTGTTAATCCTAATGTTGGTTTTTGTTGTAGTGGAGAAAGTGGTGCTGGAAAAACAGAAAGCACAAAACATATCTTGAAGTATTTATCAGCAATGAGCCAATATTCTCTTGATGTAACAACAAAGGAAAATGTCTCTTATGTGGAGCAGGCTATTTTGGAAAGCAGGTAAGGTGGTGAATGCGCAATTGCTGTTAATTTGTTTATGCAATCAAGGTTTCATTGAGAGTTTGGAAATCCTAATGTCACTTAATTTGTTTGTGCTATAATATTTTGATACATGTTTTTTTAACAACTCCTAATGTACTTTTTATAAAGCTTTTTCCTCAACCAAGCAGGACCAATTGCTCAGATGTAGAGATTGTTATATTAGATCATAGAATCCCTACAGTGTGGAAACAGGCCCTTCGGCCCAACAAGTCCACACTGACCCTTGGAGCATCCCACCCAGACCCATACACCTATAATCCATCTAATCTACACATCCCTGAACACTACGGGCAATTTAGCATGGCCAGTCCACCTAACCTGCACATCTTTGGACTGTGGGAGGAAACTGGAGCACCTGGAGGAAACCCACGCAGACGCAGGGAGAATGTGCAAACTCCACACAGACAGTCGCCTGAGGCTGGAATTGAACCTGGGTCCCTGGTGCTGTGAAGCAACAGTGCTAACCACTGAGCCACCATGCTGCCCAAACATATTGAGTCTAATAATATTGAGTCTATTAATTTTGTGTTCTGTACCTAACCCTTAATTCTCCAAATACCTTTTACTCCTTCCTCTTCAGAAGTCACTTTCCAGGATCTTTCTGGTACTTTGCTCAATAGTATCAATTCTATACTGAAATAATGTCTTTTAAAGAGAAAGAATAATAGTATAACAAGTTCAGAGTGGGAATCCCTCAAGTGGAAAGAGAAAGGACATTAGTGATTTTAATTCATAGCTTAAATAAAATATGTTGGACATGGGAGCTGATATTTGCAGCTGCAGCATGTAGGAGATGTTGGAAACCAAGATGATCCCCAGTGAACACATTTGTAGCATGTGTGTGAAGCTTGAGCAAGTTTGGATCTCAGTTCAGAAACTGGAGTCTGAGCCTATGGCATAACATTGCATCAGGGAGGGTGAGGGTTACCTGGATAATTTGCTGCAGGAGGTGCTCACACCCCTTTAAGCAATTTAAACGTGGTCTGTGATCCAGGACAGGATGGTGCATTTCTAGGTCAGGCTGGTGTGGAGACTTGAGGAACAGTTCTCCGGAGGCTGTGATGATGCAACTGTCCAGCAGTTGTCCTACAAGCTGTGTGGAGAGGACAGCAGGAGAATGAGTGAACTGACCATGTCACCATGATAGAGGGAGCCATTTAATTGTGGGGAGGAATTTGGAATGAAGCAGTGGTAGGGGATAATATAATGAGAGTTCCAATGGCTATGTTGCCTGCTTAGTGCTAGGGTGAAGGGCATCTTGGGGCTGGAAAGGAAATTTCATGTGTGATGGGGGAGATCGAGTTATCATTATCCTTGTTCATGCTAACGCTGATAGAACCAGAAAGAAGAACTGCTGAAACAATTTGAGCACTTGGGACCTAAAAGAAAAAGCAGAACCTTTATTGTAATAAAGCTATTTTGGATCTGGTAGTGTGTAATGAAGCAGGTTTAATAAGTTATTTCAGAGTAAAAGATCCCCTAACGAATAGTGACCATAACATGGTAGAATTTTAGCATTCATTTGAGAGTGAAAAACTTAGGTTAGAAACAGCAGTGCTAAACTTAAATTATGGCAATCATGCAGATGAGTACTGAGTTAGTTGAAGTGGACTGGGAAATGATCTAGCAGCAATGACAGTTAAGGAGCAATGACAGACATAAGAAAATAGTTTATGACTCATAGCAAAGATTCATTCCTGGGGAACTCCAGGAAGGAGTTAACTGATTATAGTCAAGTAAGGAAGTCTAAGGTAGTATCAAATTGAAAGAAGAAAACTTAAAATGCAGCAAAAATTAATGATAAACCAGCAGATTATGGAAGGTGTCAACAAGTGTAAGTTCTTGGGGATGTTACCCGGAATAGTGTGAAGTGATTCATTTTGGAAGGGTGAATTTGAATGCAGAATATAGGGTTAATGGCAGGATTCTCAGCAGTGTGGAGGAACAGAGGGATCTTGGGGTCCATGTTCATAGATCGCTCAAAGTTGCTACCCAAGTTGATAGGGTTGTAAAGAAGGCGTATGGTGTGTTGGCTTGCATTGGCAGGGGAATTGAGTTTAAGAGCTGCGAGGTTTACCAGGATGCTGGCTGGACTGGAGGGCAGGTCTTATGAGGAAAGGTTGAGGGAGCTAGGGCTTTTTTCATTGGAGCGAAGAAGGCTGAGAGGTGACTTGATAGAGGTTTACAAAATGATGAGAGGCATAGATAGAGTGGATAGTCAGAGACTTTTTCCCAGGGCGGAAACGACTATTACGAGGGGACATAATTTTAAGGTGATTGGAGGAAGGTACAGGGGAGATGTCAGAGGTAGGCTCTTCACACAGAGAGTGGTGGGCACGTGGAATGCGCTGCCGGCAGTGGTAGTGGAGTCAGATATCTTAGAGACTTTTAAGCGACTCTTGGATAGGCACATGGATAAAAGTAAAATGTTGGGTATGCAGGGTAGTTTGATCTTAGTAGGATAATAGGTTGGTGCGACATCGTGGGCCGAAGGGCCTGTACTGTGCTGTACTGTTGTATGTTCTATGTTATCAAAGCTAACAGAAGATAACAGCATAGGGGTGGCTAAGTGGTTAGCACTATAGCCGTACAGCGCCAGGGCCCCAGGTTTGATTCCAGCTTCAAGTGACTGTTTGTGAGCATTCTCCTCTGAGTGTTCTAGTATCCTTCCCACAGTTCAACGATGTGCAGGTTAGGTGGATTGGCTAAATTGCCTCATAGTGTTTGGGGGTGAGTGGGTGAGTCAGCGGTAAATGTGGAGTTGTGGGGGTGGGTCTGCATGGGATGTTTAAAAAAGGGCAGCTTGTAAGGATGGCCGAGTGGTCTAAGGCTCCAGACGCAAGGAGTGTTAATCCTTACCTTGCATGAGACTCTGGCGCGGTGGCTCAGTGGTTAGCATTGCTGCCTCATAGTGCCAGTGACTCGGGTTCGATTCCAGCCTCGGGTGACTGTCCTTGTGGAGTTTGTGCATTCTCCCTCCGTCTGCGTGGGTTTCCTCCTGGTGCTCCGGTTTCCTCCCACAGCCAAAAGATGTGCAGGGTAGGTGGATGGGCTGTATTAAATTGCCCATAGTGCCCAGGGATGTTTAGGTTAGGTGGGTTAGGCATGGGAAATTTAGGGGTAGGGGAATGGGCCTGGGTGGGATGCTGTTCAAAGGGGTGGTGAGAACTTGTTTGGCCGAACGGCCTGTTTCCACACTGTAGGGGTTCTATGATTCTATGATAACGAAGAGAGCAAACATGCAAGTATTCTAAAACCAGACAGTAAGAGTTTCTTTAAATGTATAAAAAGGAGAAGAAAGGCCAATGTGAAAATAGGTTCCTTGGAGAACAAAACTGAAGAAATAATGAGAACAGGAAATGGCAGACAGGTGCACAGCAATATTCATGGCAGAAGATACTAATAGCATTCCAAAAATACTAAATCACCAAGAGTCCCAAGAGGGAGTCGGAAATAAATGACGTTATCGATGGAGAAAAAGTACTAAGGAAACTCATAGGGCTAAAGGCTACTGAGTGCTTTGGATCTAGGGAATTTGGCCCCTAGAATTTTAAAGGAAGTAGGCACAGAGATAGTGGATAGACTGGTTAATTCTTCCAAGAATCCTGAGATTCTGGAGAAGTCTCAAGACTGGAAAACTCAGCCAGTGTAAGCCTTAGTCAAAAAGGGAGGGAGTGAATAAACAGGTAACTATGGGCCAGTTAGCTTAACAGTTATCATTGGGAAAATATTCTACTTACAAAGGATATAATAGCAGAGTATTTAGAAATTCACAATATAATTAAGCAGAGTCATGGCCTCACTAAGGGGAAATCATGTCTGATAAATTTGTTATAGTTCTTTGAGGAAGTAACATGCAGAATAGATAAAGGAGACCATTTTATTTGGATTTCCAAAAGGTCTTTGACATATCAAAGTCACAGAGGTCTACAGCGAAGAAAAATTCCCTTCAGCCCATCAAGCCTGCATTGGGAAATAAACCAACCCCTCAACTATTCTCCAGCATTTGGCCTTGTAAGGCCTTAGAATTGCAAGTATACATTTAAGTCCTCCTTAAGTGTTATGAGGATTTCTGTCTGTATCACTCTTGCAGGCAGATTCTCACCACCCTTCGGGCGATAAATGTGTTCTGTTCAAAAAGCACACAGTTTATAGACAGTCAGTCAGTATGGTGTTTTATAAATTCCTACTTTAGAAATAAAACCAGTCTGACTCCAAACCAAAACACAAACAGATTCTAAACAAGGCCTCACACCTAACATGCCTTGTCTGACCTAAAATGTCACCTCTTTTTTACACTAATAAAACCTTTAGCTCTGACAAGACAAGAGACTTGAAAGGAATTCGGGGATTTATATATACACATTAATCAATTAAAACCTCTAACTGATTAAATATTTAACAGCATCTTGGGTGTATTTAATACATCCTCATCAGTGGTGTGACCCTTTGATCTTTTACTTAGAAATTCTGTGTTGGATAATATCTCTCTCACCTAACACCTGAAGAAGCTCTGAAAGCTCGTGTTTTTAAATCACTCTGTTGGACTATAACCTGGTTGTCATGTGATTTATGACCCTAGAGTTATATTTGGCATGGATAGAGGTTTGGCTAACTAATAGACACAGCTGGGACAAAAGGGACATTTTCAGGATGGCAGCTTGTAACTAATGGAGTGCTTTCAGGATCACTGGGGCCACAATTATTTACGGTCTTTACTAACAACTTGGATGATGGCAGTTAAGTTTGTGCACGACACAAAAATAGATGGAAAGGCAAGTTGTGAGATTGGTGCAAAGAGTCATCAGAGGGATATTGACAGGTTAAGAGAGTGAGCACAAACTTGGCAGATGGAATATGATGTGGGAAAATGTGTGATTATGCACTCTGGCAGGAAGAATAGAAGAGCTGGATACTATTTAAATAGGGAAAGATTTCAGAAAGCTGGCATGGAGGGA